TTTTTCTCTCGCTTTTGCGACCGCTTGTTGAATTCGACCGGACAATTTCCGCTTTTTTTTCGACCGCGCAAACCCCGAAATATCACCGCCCACCTGCTCGCTCGCGCGCATTTAAAATTCGGACTAACAGAATAATTTCCGAGGTTCACGTTAGATAAACACGCATTGTTTGCAACTGGAAGCTTATCACCCGTTATATCAGAATCGTCAACAACAGAGTATACAGATAAGATGTTATCATTTAATTCCTTCCAAAGATAAACACTATGCAAATATCCACGAAACGGCAGTTGTAGTCTTTTCTGCTAGTGTTTTAAAACACTAATTTGAGCAACGTTATTGCGCAATTTCGATCTTTTGTAAACCTGGGGTGATGTATCAAGGTCTAAAGTAACCGTTTTATCAATTTTTGAAAAATCAAGAAAAAAGTGAAAATTTCCCTTCTCGCTACCTTAAGGGTGGGAGAGACTGATTTGTAAAGTCTCAGCAAAGTCTTTTTAGCAATACAAGGCAGTCAGCAGAAGTAGGCAATATACCCGGACTACATATCAATTCTACGTATCACATTTCATAAATTTTAACTCAACATGTTCATTTGATTTGTATAAAGTTTGATGGATTATTTGATAAGTACCGAGAAAGTGATTACTATTGATCGGCGCTCAAGTTCCAAGGCATCCTAGCTGGGTAATTGGGTTTCAACAATTTTTCCAGAGAAATTAATCCGATATTAAATTATGCAGATGTTAATTTTTTCTTTCTACTGCTTGTATTTTTGTCCCTATCACGAATGCTCATAATTTGTTATAAAAGCACACAATATTATGTAAATCAGTCTATCACAAATAAATTACATTAAATGGGTACCGGGCAACGAACTGTAGAAAGTCAGAACAGCAATCTGTTATATAATAAACTAAGGTCCATGATAGTAAACAAGTTTTTTTGAAATTCCTTCGGCGCCAAGAATTTTTAATAGTGGGGGAATCAATGAACGCATTTTTTTTTAGACAATGCTAAGCCTACTTGAAACCCTGATAATATGTGTGCAATCTTTATCGGTGGTTACTAAGGTACATATAAGTACACAGACTCTAAATACGAATGGAATTAGAAAATACAAAGATATTCAGAGCTAAGGGGTTTTCTCTATACAATGTGGCATTCCTATAGTCCGCACACTAACAAGATGGCCATTAAATTGGCTTCATATAATCGACGTTGTCAATGGATATATATTATTCAACAACCAATGTCAGTAGCGTTTCTGATTTGATATTTGGACATGGAACAGAGATCATTATGAGATGTCATTATTTGCGATAAAAATAAACCGAAATCGCAGACTTGCGTCATATCGTCACGCAACAGATTCTAAGCATACTAACCAGTAGTATTACAACTGAATAATAAAACAATTCCCATGGAAATAAGTTTGGTGACAGCTCTTGTTTTGCTTATTCACAAACCAAATTGACACATTTATTTCAGAAGTTATTCTGAAAAAAGATTATTTAAAATAAATTTTAATTTTCAAACAATCAAACGTCCATGCCCGATAATTTTACATGTTAACCTAATTTGATGAAGGTCACAGTGACTTATTTCTGAAGAAGCCAAAAGAAACCGTAACTAATGCATTTTTTTCATTTTTCCCAGCTCACGAGATTTTGGAAAAAGCGCCTGTGAAATTAAACTGGATTTCTCAAATATACACAGTAGTACTTTAGTAGCATGTTGACGAGGCGAGGCGACTATACAAACATGTTATTTTAATCAAATAGGTTCTACAAACGCTTATTTTTTGTGTCTACCATCAATGTTTGGGTCCATTCACCAACCAACATATTTGCACACGTCTGACCTTGCACTGACCGCCACTGCCTTAGGTCAAGGTAAAAAGATTTCTGGAGTATTGCACACCAACCATAAAAGTGCATAATAAGCCAACTCTTGAGTTTAATTGCCCAATTGGCAAGGAAACTAATACAATCCAACTACTTTGAAACAAAATACAACTTGCTTACACATGCAACCAACTGCTTGTACAATGGAACGGTAACATTTGGAAATTGTAATGAGAACATGGATGCATAACACTTAAGCTGCCAATAACAGGAATAAGTTCATTCAAAAATTACCAAGCGTGTCACCTCTAACAATTAAAATTGAATTACCGTATATGCTTCATTAGAAATGCCTGCATTAGATAATCCATGAGCAGCCATTTTTTTACATCACATAATTCAGTGACCTTTGTAGTTAGCAAATTGATAAGCCAGGTCACATGGTTTAAACTTATAATAGCATGCAAAACGCTAGAAATAAATTGGGATTATTTTTTAAATTTATTCTAATGAGCTGTAATGTACTTGACCCTTAAAAGGTCACACATTTTTTTTTTTTCCATGGGGGGGGGGGGTGAGAATTTATTATGTCAAAAAATATAGATTGATGTAAAAACAAAACAAAAATTCACAAAATTTTGGAAACTTACAACAATACTAAAAGTGAATGCCAGGATGTGTGACCTTTAGGGGTCATTTTATAAGGTCTATTTTCACGTGAATTCCACACAAAAATTTGTAACTAGACTTCTAATTAAAAACATTAACATTTTCCATGAAGAATTCTGTAAAATTGACGCCATGATCCTCCTAAAAAAGTGCAATACATGACAAGTCAATCTGCCACTCAAAAGGGCCTTTTAACAAATGTGACAGTGTTATGGTCTAGAAAGTGGAAATTGATTGAATAGATTCTACATTTCTCTCGGGTTAATTAATCAATACTGCTCGAACAGCATCTTTTCAAAGAGTTGACAAAGAGGTGGGAAGAACGAGGAAGTGTTCCCTATATTTAAAACCTACATGCATCCTATC